TCTCTCTCTCTCTCTCTCTCTCTCTCTCTCTCTCTCTCTCTCTTCATTCGCAAAGTGTGTCTACATAAGTAAGTGTTGTGTCAGTCTTATTTGGTAGTGCACGGCCAATCCGGTCACGTCATTTGGGCGGCGTTGAAGCCTCGTTTCCTCGAGGTGGTGATTTGGTATTGTTGCACGTATGGATTGTTTCTAAGAACATTGCCACCCGGCGAACTGGCCGAATATTGAGAGGGCACCGTGATTATCCCGGTTTGTTGCAAATACTGTTCGCGATAGAGCGCTTGTTGCGTCACGTATTCTCCATTCACAGGATTCTGAGCACCATAATGAACCTTCACGGTCTTCGCGGATGGTTGATTAGCGTTACATTCCTTATAACTATCTTGCAGGCTCGTTGGAGAGGAGCCAGGCGGCGTGACGTTTTTTAAGCTCTGCGTTGGACTCTGTGTGATGGACTCTAACATGTGCCTCGGCATACTTGGCGATGGGCAGTGAGTCTCTTGGAGACCATCTACGCGATTTGCGTTTCTCATGTAAATAGGTGCGCTCTCCGGTCTACCACCGACTATGTTCCTCATCCCCTCTCTATCTTTCGCGCTTAGACTTTGCCGGGATGAGTTCAATCCTGAATTACGGTTCTTCGTCACCGATGGCGATGCATTGTTCAGATCGGACACACTCGACCAGGTCACGCTTGCCAGCTCCCATTGACGGAGCAGGTTAGACACACGTTCGGCTCTGGTAGTTGTGTCGAGACTTTCGTCATAGTCTGGTCCCTGAAAAATATCGCATCGTTATTAAATATTATATTTAAAGTATTTCGTTTTAAATAATATTACTTATGCGGGAAATACAATTACACGCCAACTACCACGGACTATTTCGGTGTACCAGAAATTGAGATCACGCAAATATGTAGCTAAACAAAATCATCGGGTATCTCCTCACAGTCGATAAAAAACATTCGCAAACGAACTGACCAAATCGACCACAGCAGCACACGAATTAATATTATTGCGCCGAGGTTTCCGCAAGGTCGACGAAGCCTTAAGGGAACACACATCTATTTTATATGCCCTGATTCTAATACATATTGTCGACGTGATACAGAACACACCACGTAATTCGAGGTTGATCCTTATCGTTTTACAAGCCGGAAATTTCATCACACGATCAATCATATGGAGAAACAACGAAGCATTGTGTATACAACTAAATGAAGCATTTCGTAGAGACATTTTTAAAAATGTTACATAAAATGAAAATGAATAGAAATATACAATTCGAGGGAGAATTTTAATATCAATATATATTCTGGGAGAAGCGACTTACATTCTCAATTTTTTCATCGAGCATCTTGAAGAAGTCAAGCTGACTGGTGGATATCTCTCTAAAAAATTCAGAATGAAAGATAATTAATTATATCATTCATAGGGGCACTTTACACACAGAGAAAAACTTATAGTTAGTTAGTTAAAGTTATTCCATGGTCACTTTAGAGCGACACTACACACGTTCTATTTGCAATTTGGTGAATACGAATAATGTATTATGTAACATACAGCGAGTCGCAAAAGTGTTTAAATATGCTTTTTAGATAAGAATACCTTTTGAGATAAAATATTATCAAGTATATATGTATTAATTATTAATAATTAAGCATTTGAACAACATAAGTTTTATCAACGACCAACAATTAAGTGTAACAACAATTTTAATTTTTTTAGTAATTCTCACAAAATAATGCTTGTACTCGTACAATGTAACTGGTGTAATTTCGTTACACGAAAGAAAATAAATAATTTCGTACAACAATAAACCTGAGCTTATTTTAGTGTTTGAAAGTCCCATTTACAAAATGCATCGCTCACTTTATTCTAAAATATACTTACATTACGTAACAGTTGGAAAACTAAAGATTACTTTTCTCTCCGAAAATAAATTGTCATAGTAGACATAGATAGTTCAAGAAGATTGAAAAAAGTTTTCTTCATAACTGAATCCATGATGAATTAAAAGATCTTCATGTACGAATTTTTGCTGCTATTTTATTGGACTTTGAAGATTAGGCTTAGGCGACGAAAATTCAAAAAGTCGCTT